ATTTCCCTTACTCGGATGTTTCTAATACAAATGAATATCAAGAAGTACCACTTGCCTTAGCTGCTATATTCTGCATTTTTATTTTACAAAAATCTATAGGGATTTAGATGAGATTTAATACATATGAATTCAATTTACTACTGTTCCAGAAAAGGAGTATACTAGAAAGATCAAATAAGACTGAACCAAATGGAGGTCTCCAAGCTAAGACAGCTCGTCTGGTAACAGTCAGATAATAAGCTGTCACGTACTCTATGCCTTTTGATAAAAATAGTTTAAGCAAGGATGAAAGCAACAAGTCACTATAAAATGCGTGCTACATATTTAAATCCTCAGTGACACTTTTGACTATGTGTGATTTGGATAAAACACTTTCAAGAGAAATATTTATAACTGTTCATTTAACTAAGCCACAATAAACTATTTTCATTTTGGGTATTTAAGCAGCATTACAGATACACACACACATACACACACACACACACACACACACACACACCACACACACGCGCATATATAAGTGTGTCTCAGGAAAGGACTGAAGAGCAAACCATGTCCCAAACACCCCCCCAAAAAATGTAATAGCAAGTTGATCTAATGTCTTGTATATAATCATCCAAAATATACCAATTTATCTGGGATGGAGCGACAGCACAGCAGGTAGGGTGTTTGCCTTGCATGTGGCCAACCCAGCCAATCCAGGTTCGATTCTTCCACCCCTCTCGGAGAGCCCAGCAAGCTACCAAGAGCATCTCGCCCACAGAACAAAGCCTGGCAAGCTACCCGTGACATATTCTATATGCCAAACATAGTAACAACAAGTCTCACAATGGAGATGTTACTGGGCCTGCTCGAGCAAATTGATGAACAATGGGAGGATAGTGCTACAGTGCTATCAGGAAATCAATCAAAAGAAAAATAGTAAGGGCAAAAGGATCTAGTTTTCTGTTAAGAAATGAAATAATCTATAAAACCATAGATACTATACGTAAATGAAGCTACATAAGAATTATATACATATATCTTCTCTGGCTATTTACAAAGATGGAGAAGCAACATCCTAGTGAGAGTAAACATACATTGTACCCAGAATTTTTTTTTGGAGGGGGTTTCAGGAGAATACCCAATGGTATCGAGGGGCCACTCTTAGCTTTGTGACAAGGAGTCGACTATATGCAGCCTCAGAATTCGAACCAAGGTGTTGGCTGCAGCTACATGCTAGGCAAGCACCTTAAACTTTGTACCATCTCTCCAGCTCTAGCATTCAGATCTTAAGTTCTAAATACCAGCCTCCATTAACAGGAGCCAGTGCTTCATGGAAAAACTTTGGGTGCTGGGAGTGGGATGAAGAGAAGTTCAAGCTGAGACTGGACTGAATTTAGTAAGGAAGTCCTCAAAGATTGAAAAGTGCTCCAACACAACAGATGTCACCTTGAAACGGCAGAAAGCTATGTTCCTAAAGTGGCTTCCATTAGCTAAATTTGAAACATTTTAAATGATTAAAATAAAGATAATAACCAAAATTAAAATAGAAAGTGAAAGACTGATGAGGAATAGAATATTTATTGTAGTTTCTAATTTATTCACTACATGTTATTTACTGAGAATGGGAAGAGAATGGAACAGATCTTCAGATAACTCCTTAGTTAAGTGACTAAGGTTAACATCATTTGTGATTCAAGTTGATTATGTGCTCTTGCAGATTACACACTGCATGACATCTGAAGCATATTTATAAAAAATGCATTAAATGGATCTTATTATAAGATCACAGAAATTAAGATGAAAGATATTCCATAAAACAACTGCCCTGTAATCTTCGAAAGTAGCCAAGGTAATAAAAGCCAAAAACAAAAAAATGAAAAGCAAATTGGACTACCCATATTAAAGACTAAACAAACACTAAAATTACGTGAAATTTGATTCTACATTGGATCCTTTTGGTAAAAAAGAACCCCATGTAACAAATGATGTGGAGCAAATAATATCTGAATGATCTCTTGAGGATTAAATGTTAATAAAGTGTAAATGTTAATTCCTCAATTTTGTTGATTATTTTGAACATGTAGTGTTATAGAAAAGCACAGACATAAAACAGAAGTGTGACACAGATACATTCTGAAAGTTCATACTTGTAGCACTATAGCAATGAATTTGCATCCATTCTAATGAAAATAACTACTTTATCTTTGCTTTTCCTATTAGTAAAATATAAGAACAGGGCAAATGTACCAAGAATTACCTACCAAACAAAATTTTACCAAAGAAAGGAAGGGACAATATAAATAAATATTTGAGGTTTTATTGCTACACCCAGCTGTGCTCAGGGCTAACTCCCGGGCTCTGTGCTCAGAGATCACGCTTGAGGTCTTCAAGGGACCATGTGGGCACCATGGATCATAGCCAGGTGCGAGGCAAGACCTTACCTGCTGCATTATCTTTCAGGCCAACGTATATTTAAACCTGTGTTTAAACTTGGATTTTGTGCTTCTTTTAAGTTCTAGGAAGGTAACAATTTTCTTCACTCATATTTGTAACATACTGCTTTATTAATTTAAAAGCATCTACAATTCATTGACCTCTAGCATATGACTTTATCTCTGTATGTTTTCTTTTTGGACTTATTAGAAACAAGCAAACATCTCTCAGGAGAAAATGTAAACAGAAATATAGTACCTGCTTGCTAGAAAAGGAAGAATACATAAGTAATTAAAACATAAATGATGCAACACAGAATCCAAGCAGATGAATTTCCTTAACTTCAGCTTAATAACTGCATTTTTCATTTATAAAATATAGTCAACAATAACATTGTTTTTTACTGCTGTTTCGGGTTTTGGGCAATGATCGGGGATCGCGCACATCAGCGTTCAGGAGACCGCATACCTTGGTGCTGGGGATCAAACCAGGATCAGCAGGGAACAGGCTAGCACCTTAACTTACATACTATGTCCCCAGATCTATATTAACGTCGTTATGATTAAAATATAAATAATTTCATTGCTATAATCCTTACGGTAAACTGCTTTACTATTCTAACAATTACATACCATATTTTGGGTAGGGATCTAAATATGTTGTTTTTTTGTCTTGATTCAATCACAAGTCCAACTGAATACATCAAACACAATGTTAGTATGCTAATCATCTGCCATGTCAATGAAATTCCATCAAGAACCCAAGAAACACATATCCTCTGGGAGAAGAGGAAAAGTGAACACAGAAATAAATCACTTTCTCCATCTCAATGGCTACTAACACTTTCTATAAAAACAAAATATATACTTCCATCAAATTTGAAACAGCCCCACTGCATTTTCTATATTAATGCCAACACAACTATATGTAACTTAACAAAGTCACTCTGTCTTTGATATAATGCTACATTTTACAATAGGACAGAACTTTTTTGAAAGAGTACATACAAAAGGCAAAGTAATGGCTTCTTCTTCTTTCATCACAAGGAAACTACTAGCAGTACTTGAGGGTCAAGGGCCATACACCGCCATGCTGAGCTAGAGGGAGGAGAATGCCAAGCAAAAGGAGGTAGGGGATGCCAAGCAAAAGTCCTAGGCAATGGCCTGGCCACACATCACTTGCTCAAGTGATACAGTCTATCACTTGAGCCTCATCCCAAGCAGAATAATTCCCTTTAAAAAACACTTTTTTAATTTCCTTGCTAGTTGTTGGATGAAACCCCAAACAACAAAATAAAAATACTCAGGAAAAGTATTTGATACCACAGAGTTTTATAAGGCAACTACTTAAAATTGACCACTATTTTTTTCAGTTAAACACTATTTTTGGAATGTTGATAATATATTTTGCTATTAAATATGCCTTTCTTAAATCTGTGTTTTAATAAAATGACTAGAAAATTAATTATTGCTGTATGATAGTTTCCACTCATGGTCACAAATGCTTTATTATTAATTAAAATGCAACACACTTTAGCAACTTCTATAACTGTTAATATTAAAAATTAATAAATCTGTATGTTTCAAAAACTAGTCTTTTCTATCACAAATGCTTCCTTGAGTTTTCAATCCATAAATGTTTATAGAAGATTTATGTGTTAAGCTACAAGGAAATAATTTTAGTTAATAAAGAATTTTTGGTTCCATGATCAGACAGGAAACTTAGTAACAAGTTTTATTCATTCTAGGGCAAATCCATTCTTAGTGGCAGTAAAGAAAGATGGCATGATATTTATATTACAATAGACTTTTAACTCTTCTTGCTCATTTATGGAAGAAAAATTTGATTAACCCACAGCAGACCTTTGTACAAATGTATATATTTCTGTCAAATGAGTCAAAGCATTAGAAATCTACCTATTCATTTACCCATTTTAAAAGAAACACATTAATCTTAAACTTTAGATTACAAAAATGTAAGATTATGACATAATTTCTTTATTTCCTATATGGAAATAGATAAATAGATAACCTTATTAAAAATCAACTTTACCATGTTATAAACTACTTTTATTAAAGGATAGATATAAAACATACACAACATATTTTAAGATGAGTAATAAATCAAATAAAACTGGATTTTATTAATCACTATTGTTTAATGATTAATACTGAAATATATATCTATTTAAGTATACATAGATATGAGTATATATATTTAATTTGTCAAAATAAATTTCTTAAGACTCAGGGCAGAATTTCCAGCCATCTTTAGCACACCTAAATTTTGATTACAAGAGTATTTAATATACTACAATAGCATAGATTATGCAAAACAACTAAGATGTTTGATAGAGAAAAATTATATAATTGTAACAGAATTTTTTACTTCTTACTTTAAGGATGATAAAATCACCATAGAAATATAATTTTAATGTGCATTATGTGTATTTTAAATGTTGCTCCTTCATATTCCAATTTTCTTTAAAGCCAGGAAGCTGACCTATTGTATGGAAAATCTATCAAAAGGAAAAATAAACAATACTTCTTCTTATAACACCTTCCCCCACTCCCTCAACTTACTTTAGAAGATGAAGAATCACACTCCTGACATATCCATCCGTAGCCCGTTTGTTTTGGAGACTTTTTCAAAGGAGGATCCAAACAGCCAAAATGGTAGCACAGTCTGCATTCATCACACCTGCAGAGTAAACAGATTAATAGTTTGTATATAAATAAGATTAAAGAGAACTTTTCACAGAGTAAATTATTTGTACATTTTAATTTTAATACTAAAAGTCTACATTTGACTCACAAGACTATTAAATTCATGTTTCTGAAAAAGACAAGCTAAACTTGAAATAAATGCTATAGGAAAAACAATAAAATTAACAGTTACTATTAAAATATTCCTCAGAATATGTTGATGACAAAGAATGCATGTATGCAGTCACATGTGGTCAAAATGAACAAACAAATTTCAATATGAACTTCAAAAATCATTTGACCTTCAGGTAAAATAAAATCATTTAATGAGATGCCTATAACTTAAGACTATGAATTCAATGCAATACATAATAGTTTTAGTTTGTTTTTAATCTAAGGAATTCTGTTAGGTTACACTAAACTGTAATTGAATCTATATAAATTATATTTCATGATGCTCTTTCTCCAAGTTAAACTAGATTGTAAATACTTTCTATTATTTACAGCATGCTAATTCAACTAGAGCATATAAATTCCATACCAAAAATTTAATATTATTTTCTCAAAGATAATTTTCCTCAAAATTTAGATATTATTTTCTGATAGGATTTGCTTATTTTAAGACCTCTGAGAACATCTAAAATTTATTAACAAATGTTCTGATAGTTTTTGCCACCTATAATGTACAAAATCTAAGAAAACTATCATACCTATTCTTCGTTTCAGACAATCTCATCCTGCTGACAATGAAGAAAGATCTGTATTATTTCAGTGTTATAAGAAAGTTCTCATCAGTTGGACTTACAAGATCCCATTTTAACAACAAATAACAGAAATGCATAAAACTTATAGAATAGATTATATTCATTTTTAGCTGTTTTTAAATTAAACACTTTTTGCTGAACCAATGTCAGAAAATTTTATATAGTTTCTATTACTGAGTTCAAGCTTTGTTAGGTTGAGAAATCCACTACTAGGAAACAAGGAGGGAAACTTAAAGGACACAGAAACTTGAATAAAGTGCAAAAGTACTCTTCAATAACTTTACTGGATAAAAGTTATTGGGAGAATGATATTGTTATAAAAATATGAAGTGCAACAAATGATTTTTTAGAAACGATCATGAATACGATAAATGTATATTTACAATACAGAAAAAAATTTAAATCATGCTATAATACAAAATGTTTCAAAGATATCTGTGAATAAAGAACTTTAGAAAAGATAATAATTTAGCTAATGTATTCAGGTCCAAAGAAACTAAAAAAATTATATTTCATAAGTTTATGCATTTTCTCTATAACCTTTACGTGTAAAACAACCTTAAGCAATTTTGCCAACCCTTCTTTTAGATTCAGGATATAGCTCTCAAAAACAAAACAAAAAGTTTACTATGATTAACTATAGCTATAGGAAAAACAAAAAGCAGTACTATTTTATTCACTGCTAATATTATAAAAACTACCCAAATACATTAAAAAGTAGCTAAAATGTTCAAAATATGAATTATTCTGACACTTAAAAATAAAACAGAATATATATATGGTTAGCTTCAAATATTAAATAAAGGGACTAAGGGAAAATTAAATCAAAAAGTTTTTTTTTCTGGTGTTGGGGATCTAACTAAGGGCCTCAAGCATACAAACTCTAGAGCTAAATCCCACTCAATTTTTTTTTCATTGTAAGTTATTTAACTTTTCCAGTACTTAATAATTCAATTATATCAGACATACCAGAATATAAGCATTTCCAAGTTTATGACGGTTGAGATAATTAGGAAAACAAAAGTATAGTATTTAAAGCAGGAAAACTAATATTTCAGCCATTTCTCAGGAAATTTAAAAAAAAATCACATTCTTTGCTTGATAAAGAAAATATAAACAGAATTTACTATAGCTATTTTATGTCAGGGTCATCAGTTAATAGCATGAGTACTACATATCTATTGCACACGTGCCTTTGTATTTTATGTGAGTACCATTAATCTGGAGTGATAGCACAGCGGGTAGGGCGTTTGGCTTGCACGGGGTCGACCCGGGTTCGATTCAGCTACTGAGTGCACAGCAGAGTCTGGCAAGCTCCCTGTGGTGTATTCAATATGCCAAAAACAGTAACAAATCTCACAATGGAGATGTTACTGGTGCAGGAGGACAATGCTACAGTACTACCATTAGTCTATTGTTATGTTTGATTTCTTTTATTCAACCTTTGTAGGTTTTCAAGTTTCTTTGCTTGAAAAGTAGCAAGCACTAGTAGCTTACATTGTCAGGATATTTATTTGTCCTAGAAGCATTTCCCCCAGATATTTGCCATGGATTCAGCAGCCAGATCACCAAACTTAGTAAGAATGAGAAAATTTATAGTAAAAGATATAAAAGTGTGAATTTCTACATAGTACATAGATTTAATTCTGGTTTAACTATAATTTATTTGGCTGATTAAAAATTTTTATGTCTTACAAAATTACTCAGGCAATGTTATATATAATTTAGATTTTCAATGTTTTGGCCTCTTGTTAGATAAAAAGTTAGAACAGTACTATTACTACACACTTTATAATTACTGTCAACTTAAAAGGGCTGGAGCGATAGCACAGGGGGTAGGGTTTGCCTTGCACCCTACGGCCGACCAGAGTTCAATTCCTCTGCCCTTTTGGAGAGTCCAGCAAGCTACTGAAAGGATCTCGCCCACACAGCAAAAGCCTGGCAAGCTACCCATGACATATCCAATATGCCAAACACAGTAACAACAACTCTCACAATGTTACTAGGCCCACTCGAGCAAATGGATGAACAACGGGAGGACAGCGCAGTGCACTCAACTTAAAAATTATTTCACATATGTAACTAAATCAAACACTACCATAATTAATGTAAAGGCGAATCACACTGTCACTTTCACATATGTAATCAATTCTTCATCCACATAAGTAATTCTCTCAGCTTTATACAAGGTAATGCACATTCATATACATAGGTATATGAAATTTGTATTCATACAAATTTAAGAAACAGCTAGAAAACTATGAATTCCCAGCTAATTGAGAACAATTTTTATCTACTAATATGGTAGAATTTAATTTGTAGCAGATTTCAATTGACTGTAAAATCAAGCTATTTTTCATTGCAAGAATACATGCAAAAGAGAAAAATGGCTTATATGCTAGATTTGTTAAAAGGAAATGTCAAAATATATGCTACTTGTAGAGGATGAAATCCTTACTGATTCATCAATAATACTTTTTAGAATAACTGGATATGGAAGGTCAATGTATTTGTTATGGGTTTCAAAGGGAAGACAGAATTTACTTGTCAGAATTAAGGGGTAATATGGGAATTCTCTAGAGTTAAAGTCTACTCATCAATAAATAAAAACTGCAATTCTAAAACAAAGTAACAAAAATAGAGTACATATACCCTATGGAACATCCAAAATCCAGGAGAGGAAACACAAAAAGAAATAACACAATCTTGAAATTGTTAATAAACAAGCAAGTACATACTCTTTCTAGAGAAGTCTAATATTAACCCTATGTGGAAAAAATTGGTTGTTTTCACATTATAACTGATGATATATGTAACTTTATGTGAGGGTAACAAAAAACATCCTAAAAGATAAAAGTGAACTTGAGTAGAATTTGTAATAAATATTCCCTAGTCAGAGATACCATTAATAATCCTAGAAATCAAATATAGATGGCTAAGACAGTGAATTATTTATTACACACACACACAGACACACACGTTGTATACATGAGCAAACTTTCTTGCCAATAAGGTTTGCCTACATTACAAATTTAGGTTATTTCAAACACCCCAAAGTTAGAGTAGTCATAAGGTCTGTTATCATTTTGTCATCTAAAAGATGAAAGAGTCGAACATTAAAAAAAAAAGATTTATGGATTATCTTCACTTCATATAAACTTTGAAACACAAGTGCAGCACATAATATAGTACATATTTATCAAAATAGTAAATAAAATGTCTTAAAAATCTTTCGCAAAACAAATTGATTCATAAAAGCATGATTATTAACATAATATGCTTTACTCAATAACACTAATGTCTATATAATAAAAACAGACTTTAGACTAATAGAGCATTATTAAATAGAAAGATATTACCTTAAAACTCTAATATATAAAACTAACTTATCAACATTATGAATTTTTAAAAATAAAGTACAAACTGATTCTTAAAAACATATTCTTTAAACACCTAATATTGCATGTATTATTATAGGCTATTGAAAATTATCATTTTACATGAGATAAAATGAATTTCATTTATAAGAGGAAATCTGATTATGTTAATTATATTCTTACTAAATACAATTTCCTAGACTTCAGATTCTTAATGAATACAGATACAAATAATAAGCTGGGTTTGTATGTGGTATCTTTCACACACAGACTGAGCAAAACCAGTCGCCAACAAACACACTTCTGTATGTATTTACTTATTTAGCATGATTACGTATAGCACCCTACACACAGAAGAGGAAGACAATGATTTATGCTCATATGTACTCTGACCCATACAATATTCATGTGTTTACTTCACTAAAATTAATCAAGCAAATAAGAATAACAGATTCATTTCATCCTGTACCCAAGAGATCTGGGTATAAGATGGTGTTGTAAAGGGTCTGACTCCCTTAATTTCCAATTGCAATTTTAACAAGAGTGCCCTAAATAATTACTTTTTAAAACTAACCCAAGCAAACACACATCCTATGCAAATAAGTAAAACTCAGATGAAATGTTAAACTTCCAAGAATAAGAGAAATTCCTAATATAAAATTTAAAAAGGAATATATATTATTAGTTGACCTATAACTATAGGCATTTTTTATTAATTTAATATCCTATGTGGATTAAAGCAAATATATTCATTATTGTGTCTACATAAAAATTTCACACATGATCAAAAAACTGATCTTGCTTTATTTTAATTTACTTAAATAAAATCTCATTAGTAGCGTAAACATGTGCACAAATATATGAAGCAACAGTGACAGATTTTTTTCACTGCAGTAGCCAATACTTTAATTGCTTTCACATGTGGAGAAATACAGACTTGCAGCCATAAATTAAATCAATTTTACAATATTACAGCCTTACACAATATTCTACATTTTAGAAATACAACAGTAGCATTTAATATCAATAAAGAAATCTTTATTCCTTGTATTTTACGACTTCAGTACAGAACAACCTATATTAACATTTTCTAAACAAAAAAAAACAGAAAATGTCTTTAATATCCAATTTCATGGATTAAGAAAATGTAGAGATTTTGAATTTTATTTTCATTAATGATACTATAGACTTTTATCATAAGAAATGAAAAATCAGTCGTGGAAGAAAGAAAAAAAAAGTGCTAGAGCAACAGTATGGTGGCTTTATGTGGCTGACTCTGTTTCCATGCCCCTAGCACTGGAGCTGTGAACTCCCAGCAGGAGTGATCCCAGGGTGTACAGCCAGGAGTAAAGCTCTTAACATTGCAGGGTATGGTCCAAAAACCAGAAAAACAAAAACAGCAAAAATATTCTTCAGATAAAAGTGTGGCCCCAGGTACAATACAGAATTTACAAACACACCAAGCCTTTTTTTATTGGCTGAAATTGCTGAAAGGAAGGAGATATGGTCTATGGAAACAGGAACAGGCAGCTGTGCAGGACAGGCTGCCTCAGTGGACGGAGGAGCTAGTTTTTAATTCCCCTCTGTAAAGATAGAAGA